AATAGGATGATTTATACATAGTAATGAGCTGCACAAAATAACATCCAATATGCTAGAAAAAATACAACTAAACATGAAAATTTGTTTGAGTTTTAATATTAATAGAAAGGGGTAATAAATTGAAGATTAATTCTAAAGCTTGGGAGGGATTTGAAGTCATTTTGTTCTACAATGAATGATTACATATTTTCCTTTTTTTAAAAGAAATTTTACACAAATCATCAAATTCATATTTCAAATAATTCATATATCTCACAAAGTGATTTCCAAACCCAAAAAATTACACTTGGAAATACAATGAGTAAAGTTCATCATGCAGGAACAATATGCAAAGTGTATTATACATTAACAATGTAGCATGGATTATGTAGGAATAATATACAAAATGCATCAGGTAGGTGTATCAAACATGTATACTAACGAATATACATAATGCACTATGTAAAGTGTATTTAAAGCGCAAATGTAGCATGCATGTGTACTAAACAGCATATGAAATACATTACACAAGAATGAGTATAAATGCATTATGTGAGAACAGTATACAAAATGTGTGATGCGAGTACAATGTATTATAAAATTGCATTAATCAAAATGCAAATGTTGTATGCATAAGAAAATAAAAATAGATTATGCAAGTGCATCATACATTATAGACATGTATTGAATGTATAAAATGTATTATGCAGATATGCATGAGCATTAAATAATGTGTTAAATTCATTATGCAAATATACTGCAAAATTCCGCATGTGATTCGATCTTTACAACAAATTTTTAAATATAAAATTTGAGAATGCTCTGCAGATTTGCTAAAATGCTTTAACATCCCAACAATAGATGTACTGACAAGAAATTTTAACTAAACGGGGCTATTTAATTCAAAACATAAGATTCCAATCTAACAAAAAGTTTAAATTCTTAAAATGAAATCCATCACAAAAACCTTTAAAAAAAATTCCACCCAAACTTCGCATTAATTTGGTGAGGATGATGAATGGAAGAACAACTTCAGCTCACAAAATGAAGATGTCTTGTTGAATATATTACTACAATTTATTCTCAATTAATTTCTTACTAGCAAGGATGTGGCATGTGTCCTCTGACCGAATAATTTTACTACAAAATGACACTATTATATTATGGTCATGGCCAAAGCTCGTATTGTCCCTAATGGTTAAAACCCTCTTTAAGTAATGAATTATCGAGTGCACCCGATAAGATAGAAAACTCTTTATCATCTAACATTGACTTAAACTCACCCCGTTAAATAAACATCTACCCTATATCATTAAGGTACCCTTAAATGATGCAACATATGACTACTGACAATGATCCTTCTATCAATTTGGTTCAACTACCTCCTCATTTTCCTTCAATCTCATGTAGAACAACGTTCTCCACTTTCTCATGTTCACTTGACACCGTATGCAAGAAGCCCTCTTACTCCCTCTAGTCTCCCTCAACCACCTAAAAGAATAACCCAACCATAGCAGTACCCCTGTGCGACCTCGCCAACCCCATCAACCTGATCCCAACCCGACCTCCCTGTCTCGTTCTCTCTGGGATGCATGTAGAAGCCCAAGCTATTGGCCCTCTCTCCCCCTCATTTGCTAGATCACACTCAAGAACCAAATAACCTGATCCCCTCTCTCTCATCTCTCTATTTTGCACGCCAAAAGTTGAAGCCCTCTCAACCTCCTACCCGTCCTGCTTAACCAACCTTCCCTCATCCAATTTTAACGCCATCGATCTAATCGACCTCATACACCTGTCTAACCAAGCCAATTTCTTTCCTTTATTATTATTATTAAAAAAATTATTCTCATTGACACTGCCATCATCATAATCTTGCATAGAGGTAAATTTCTTTCTTTCTTTCTTTCTTAAAAAATAGGTGTTGAAGACCTGCATTTGTCATATCTTTGATCTATCAGGGAGAAAATAATAAGATCACATGAAGACATGTGTTTGCAATATCTTTGATCTAGTCGAGACAAATAAATGATATGAAGACCTTGCTTTCATATTTTTAATCTGGTAGGGAAAAACAAAAGGCAAGTGCCTACCTTACACTTGCTACAAGGGGGGTAGGATGTCGAGAGGTTGTCAAAATTTTAAATGAAAAAGGACCTCACAATTAATTTTTTTTAAATAAGAATAAAAAAATCATATGCATCAAATTTTAAATTTTAATCAAATGAAAATATTTTCTTTATAAATGATTGCTCGTTACCTATGGTTTTGGAGATTTAAATAGGATGATTTATACATAGTTATGAGCTACACAAAATAACATCCAACATGCTACAAAAATAGAACTAAACAAGAAAATTTGTTTTAGTTTTAATATTAATAAAAAGGGGTAATAAATTGAAGATTAATTCTAAAGCTTGGGAGGTATTTGAAGTCATTTTGTTCTACAATGAATGATTGCATATTTTTCTTTTTTTAATTTTTTACACAAATCATCAAATTCATATTTTCAAATAATTCATATATCTCACAAAGTGATTTCCAAACCCAAAACATTACACTTGGAAATACAATGTGTAAAGTTCATCTTGCAGAAACAATATGCAAAGTATATTATACATTAACAATGTAACATGCATTATGTAGGAATAATATACAAAATACATCAGGTAGGTGTATCATACATGTATACTAACAAATATACATATTGCACTATGTAAAGTGTATTGAAAGCGCAAATGCAGCATGCATGTGTACTAAACAACATATGAAATACATTACACAAGAATGAGTTTAAATGCATTATGTGAGAACAGTATACAAAATGTGTGATGCAAGTACGAATGTATTATAAAATTGCATTAATCAGAATGCAAATGTTGAATGCATAAGAAAATGAAAATAGATTATGCAAGTGCATCATACATTATAGACATGTATTGAATGTATAAATTGTATTATGCAGATATGCATGAGCAATAAATAATGTGTTGAATTCGTTATGCAAATATGCTGCAAAATTCCGCATGTGATTCGATCTTTACAACAAATTTTTAAATATAAAATTTGAGAATGCTCTGGAGATTTGCTAAAATGCTTTAACATCCCAATAATAGATGTACTAACAAGAAATTTTAACTAAATGGAGCTATTTAATTCAAAACATAAGATTCCAATCCAACAAAAAGTTTAATTTCTTAAAACAAAATCCATCACAAAAACTTAAAAAAAAATTCCACCCACACTTCGCATTAGTTTGGTGAGGATGATGAATGGAAGCATAACTTCAGCTCATAAAATGCAGATGTCTTGTTGAATGTATTACTATAATTTATTCTTAATTAATTTCTTACCGGCAAGGACTGGCACGTGTCCTCTGACCGAAAGGTTTTACTACAAAATTACACTATTATATTATGGTCATCGCCAAAGCCCATATGGTCCCTAATGGTTAAAACCCTCTTTAAGTAATGAATTATCAAGTGCACTCGATAAGATATAAAACTATTTATCAGCTTACATTGACTTAAATTCACCCCCTTAAACAAACACCTACCCTATATCATTAAGGTACCCTTAAATGAAGCAACATATGGCTACTGACAACGATCCTTCTATCAGTTTGGTTTGACTACCTCCTTAATTAAGTAGATTAGGGATGATGATAGCTTGGGGCGACATAATCATGATATCTTAATCGGACCTATCATTATTCCCCCATCACCTATTTTAAGTATATAGTGATAGATTTCAAGTCATAAACATCAAAATTAAAATCCATATTCAAACCCTAAAATCACTGCTATTTTGAACTAGGTAATTATTGCGACTTATTTGAACGACTAGCCTTAATTGAAGGTTCTCTCTAGTTATCTAGAGAAGTAATTAACCATAAGGGCTTGAGCCTATGTGAAATACCATAACTCTGATCATAAAGTCCTAACAAAATGAGGGCAAAATTTTTGGGTAGTGCCTTGTCCAAAACCTAATTTGCTTTATGAAAGTTTACACCATAACTTAAATATGTTAAAACTCTCCTGTTAATTAAGAGGCGAAGAGAGGCTGGGATACAAAATTTTTGAGCCCACAGCTTAGGCTTGGCATCGACGTAGCAATTCTTACAAATTATTCAGAGTTTATAGGTATTGAAGTGCAACAACTTATACAGATGAGGACACTAATTTTGTTCTCTACGTTTTTTATATCAAAAGTATTGAACCAGAATTTATTCTCCCATTCAATCACCATTATAGAAAATTAATTTAATTAATTTTTAAAAACATTTCTAGAGTCATTCATGGGCTGATAAATATTAGAGAAATTAATTAAATAAATAAATTCCTTGTTTTCAATTTCCTTTCTTTTGGTCTACTTATTAAATTGTCATTCATTATGTGCATTAATTCACTTTTATTTTGATTTCTTATTATTTAGTCTATGTATTAAATTGGCATTCATTATGGTTATTAATTCATCTTTTTTATTTCGTTTCATTTAGTATATATATTAAATTAAAATTCATTACGGGTGTCAATTCACTTTTCATTTTTATTCACTATATTGCATCTATAAATATCACATAAAGCTTGGAATATTATAAGGATAATAATTCATTCCCTTTAAATTATTTCTACAAATGAATTCTTTTAATGGTTATGAAAATATGTTGTCCAAATGGACCATAACCGTGATGTTCTTCTTGCATTTTTAATATAACCTATTGATCAAATAAAATTAACATGTCTTGATTATCTCCATAATTTCATGATGTCTTCATATTACAATCAATTGGAGTTTATTTTTGTGCTTCACCCATTGGATTAAAGGGAGAAAAAAGAAAAGAAAAATCTTGGCTTATGGTCTTGAACAAATATTACCATATAATCTATTTTTTATATAAGCATTAGTGGCTATAGTATTCTTATAGTTAAAATTGGCCTATCCGTTTTTATGGTTCACTTATTTTTAAGGTGGTTTTTTTTTCCCATATAAAATTGAGTCTCTCCCTTAACTCAACCCTCAACCAACTTCAAGACCTTGGTTCAAAAAATGAAACATCTAGTATTGAATAAGTTTCTTGTTCTTGATCTGGTTTGTGCTGAAACTTTTGCCACCACTAACTTTTATCCATTGTGCTATTGATTGTAAACTTTTGTAGAAGAATATTTGGTTCGTTTAAAACAATTAAAAAAAAAAAAAAGCGGAAAAGCATTGTTTTGAATTTTGTTTGGCTACCTGAAAGTTGGTTTGATATGTAACGCAACTTTTGAACTTGCTCTGCCCGTTTTTGGCGTAATGTGTTGACAGGCTTGTCATTCGCAATTTGCAGAATATCTAAAAATTGAATCAGAGCAAAACTCGTGGCTGAGGAGCTAGGACTCGATCATCAGTGGAAATCTGTAAAGTATAGGGATGCCTCCGAGCAAGACCAAGAGAAACTTAGGTTAGCCATTGAAGATGAGGATGTTATTCCATGTAATGAACATTGGGCGGTGAAATTAGGCATTAAACTCTATTACAGCGTCAGCCTCAGCCAATCTCCATTGTTCAGAAAACACTGCTTTGGAACGATTGCTCGAAGGCAGAAGAAAATAATCTTTGCTGGAAAGTGGTATGGAAAGGTGTGGATGTCAAACCAAGTGCATCCTTATTTACCTGATCAAAACTTCCCAGATGATGATGATAACATAGATGTGCGTTTGGAGGCTAATAGCTACACAGAAAATGTGAACCAATTAGTTCTATCTAGAAGGAATTTATTAAATAACTACACTGCCGATAGGCGGAAATCTGGTAATAAGAGGACAAAATCAGAGTACCTTTCAAGCGCTCGAAAACATGCACATGCCAGGCTTGACAAAGATTGTAATGCTAGATATGCAGAGGAGAATTCTGGATATGCTGGAAATGCAGATTGTGACCCAAATACAGATAGGTCCGAAGCTGAAACAGATATAGAGGAGGATGATGAACAAGCAATTTAAGGAAGAAGAAACTCCACAAATAACAATGCGGTGGCTAGAAGGAAATCTGATCAGAAGAAATATATCCACCTTGCATGAACCATAATGTCTTTAATTGAACGATTAAAATCAATCCAGGCCATTAATTTCTTTGATGTTACATCACAAAAATACTGTAAAAAAGAACAGCAAAGTCTTAGCAGCAAAGCAATCACCAAATGTCCATCAGCATCAAAGTTATTTCCTTTCTCAGTGGTGCCCACTTAATCTAAGTAGTAAGTGAAAATTGATCAGCGAGGTTTCAGCACATAGAGAACCTCCCTTTCTCAGTAGTCTTCTTACTGCCAACGCTCCTGTACACTTACTTTACAAAGCTGAAAGCAAATTAATGTTCAACTCCCTCTTTAAATTCTTGATTCTTTTTGACACTCTACTGCTGTTGGTTAAGCTGCTGCTAAACAAACAGATCAAATGGTAGAAAAGATAGATGGATGTTTCATTTGATAGTGACAGATTTTGGACATATATATGGCTCAGATTCTTTTATGTTTCAGGACTCCATTAATTCACAGGAGTTCAAGCTTTCCAATGTAAGGAGGCAAAATGGCGTTGCGTTGTTAGAGATGTTGGGGTGGTTGGCATTTAATTGCTGATTATATCCACCTTCTCTTGATTTCAGCTATTTGAGGCCTATCCTCTTCTGCGTTTCTACTGTGTCCAGAATTGGTGAAAGCTTAGCAGAAGGGAGATAGATGTGGAAGAAGGATTGTTTACCTAAGGGAGAGTTGAGGAGGGGAGCTTGGACAGAACACGATGACAAGCTTCTTTCAGATTATATTGAATCTCATGGTCTTGGAATATGGAGAAGCTTGCCAGCAAAAGCAGGTAAATTTGTTATACAATTTTTATGTTTTCTTTTGAATTTTTTATTACTTGCATCATGATAATTTGAAGGCTTGAGCTTTCTAATAAAAAGATTCTTATTGCTAAATAAAAAGACTAATCAAGATTACAGAATGATAGGAAAAGGATCATTGTTCATAATATTTAAAAGAAACTTTCCACTCTCTTCTTCTTGTTGAATTTGAAAATGCTGTGAACGAAATCAAAGGATAAATTAGACAGAAGATAATATACATAGAAAACAGAGATTTTGTGATTTGAAGATAAATCATATTAAACATCTTTGAGATTCTCCCTATCCTAAAATTTGATCCCAATTTTTTTATAACAAATTTATGAATTCATTTATTTGTATCTTTGTCTTCCTACTTAATCTTCATAGAAGAAAGCCTTTTTAACCTCGAGTAATACTTAAGAAGCAGCACTAATTGGTAGTGTTTACTAAAACAATTAGTAAAAAAAAACCAATCTTCAAAAACAATTAGAACACATATCTCAAAAAAAAGGTTGCCATTGATGCCTCTGAGAGCCAATCTTCTTCTAAAACTGTCACCACCACAACCATTACTTCTACTACAATGCCTCTCTACAACAACAACAACAACAACAACATCAAGCCTTTATCCCACTACGTGGGGTCGGCTACATGAATCCTTTTTCTCCATTGTGTCCTATTAAAAGCCAAATTCTCGTTTAAATCTAATAAAGAAAGGTCATTCCTAATATTTTCTAACCAAGTCTTTTTAGGTCTACCCCTACCTTTCTTAACACAAGTCAAATCTAATACCTCTACTCTCCTAACCGGGTCGTCGGAAGGCCGCCTTTTTATGTGACCAAACCATCTAAGGCGACTCTCTCTAATCTTATCTTCTACTGGAGCTACTCCAACCTTTTCACGTATATGCTCATTTCGTATCCTATCTCTAAGGGTAAAGCCACTCATCCATCTAAGCATCCTCATCTCTACCACACTTAACTTAGTATTATGCTTCTCTTTTAATGGCCAACATTCGGCACCATAAAGCATTGCAGGCCTCACTACCATCTTATAGAATTTTCCCTTAAGTTTGAGGGGTACATTTCTATCACATAACAAGCCCGATGCATTCCGCCACTTCAACCATCCAACTTGAATTCTGCTGATAATATCCCCATCTATTTCACCATCACTCTGAACAATAGATCCAAGATATCTAAAACGTGTACTCTTATTAATGACTTGATCGCCCAAAGTCACAATCCCCTCACTAGGACTATTACTACTAAAATTACACTCCATATATTCCGTTTTAGATCTACTCAAGCGAAAACCTTTAGACTCTAAGGTTGACCTCCATAATTCAAGTTTACCTTCAACTCCCTCTCTAGTCTTATCAACAAGAAGAATATCATCAGCAAAAAGCATACACCAAGGTACATCATCTTGCAAATGTCTAGTGAGAACATCCATGACTAAAGCAAATAGATATGGGCTTAAGGCTGATCCTTGATGTAACCCAACCGAAATAGGGAAATACTTGGTCAATCCACCTTGTGTTTGAACACAAGTAATAGCTCCTGCATACATATCTTTAATGATTTGAATATAAGCATTATTGACTCCTTTCTTTTCAAGAACTCTCCATAGCACTTCTCTTGGAACTTTATCATATGCTTTTTCTAAATCAATAAATATCATATGTAGATCCTCCTTATTTCCTCTATATTTTTTCATCAAACCTTTGAATAAATGTATGGCTTCCATAGTCGACCTACCCGGCATGAATCCAAATTGATTTTGAGAAACATTAGTATCACGCCGCAACCTATGCTCCATAACTCGGTCTCATAGTTTTAAAGTATGACACATTAACTTAATACCTCTATAATTCGTGCAATCCTGTGCATCGCCTTTATTCTTAAAAATAGAAATTAATACACTCATTCTCCACTCATCTGGCATCTTTTTAGTCTTCAAAATAGTATTAAAAAGTTTAGTAAGCCAAGAAATCCCTTCATCTCCTAAGCATTTCCACACCTCTATTGGAATATCATCAGGTCCAACAGCTTTTCCACCCTTCATTCTATTTAAAGCCTCTCTAACTTCAGTTTTACTAATACGCCGATAAAAACAGAAATCTTTACTTTCATTTAGGGTGCTAAGGTCACTATAGTCAATCTTATTTTCACACTCTTCATTAAAAAGTTTAGCAAAATATCTCATCCACCTTTGTTGAATATCATCTTCTAAGAAAACTATTTTTTGATCTTCATCCTTAATACACTTCACTTGAACTAAATCCTTACTACTCCTATCTCTTTGTTTGGCTAACTTATACATATATCTTTCTCCCTCCTTAGTATTTAATCTATTATATAAATCACTAAAAGCTAATGTATTTGCATCGCATATTGCTTTCTTAGAATCCTTACGAGCCATTTTATATAATTCCCAATTATCAGAATTTTTAAAATTAAACCAATTTTTATAACTACAATGCATATCTCAATCAAAAATTCAGGCAATGAGAATGCAAACAAGAGAGAGAATGAAGGATCGGTAACTAGCATGGTTAAATCCAAGATAATTAAGTGTGCAAATGACTTACCCACATATGAAACTGAATATTTGAATAAGAATAATTCATTTAGTCATGAAGAACATCTAACCATGAAGCTTCAAGGTCATGAACAAGTTTGTCTTCCAGATTCTGCTTCATCTGATTTTGGTTTTGGCCTGGAGTTGAGCTTTGGTGAGTTAAGTAACAGTTCAGTTTTCTCTGATTATGAATGGAAAGATGTCAAGAGTATTGCTAGTCCTTCAGTAATAGGGGATGTTTTCAACAGCAAAAGGATGGAAAGAAATGAGGAGATGCACCCATTTATTGCTGAAGTTGAGTGGGAGTCTTTAATCAAGTCATGTGAAGCAATATAAGGTTTAACATAGAATTATACATTGTGTCCAGCTCTACTTGTAATAATTTGAAGTTTCATGAAAGAATAATACAATATTGGTAAATTTCCATAATGATTTGCACATTAATGGTATACAGCATCCATGCTTCATTCATGAAAATCAATCGAAATTTGATTGATAGTTATCTCTTACCTTAATATATTGATCATAATTCTATATTAGCAGGAGCTTATGGATCATTAGACTCTTTTTTCAAGTTTATTGAGTTCTCAGTTATTTTAAGATGCATACAAATCTGAGATTTAAATGAGACTAAAAAGAGAATTTGAAATTGGTTGATTGGATACTCTAAATGAAGAAGGTGAATAAACAAAAACATATAAATCAATACAGAGAATGACAAAAGAAATTCAAGCAAGAAATTTGCTAGTTTGACGTAACATGTAAATGTATGTGTATTTTAACATCATTGAATAACAAGTTAAGGAGCATGTGGATCATACCTTTCTGAAAGATTTAAATTTGCTAGTTTGGCATTACATCCTTTTATTTGGTATCGAAGGAAAGAATATAGAGAAGACAAACGGAAGGGAATGTGGTGAAGAGCAAGATTAACATATAGAGAAGTAGTTGATACAAAATTAAAGAGGAATTAGGGTGGAGGAGCAGAGGATAATAGAAGAAGAGCAAGACATAAATATAAACATGAATTAAGAAAATAGGAAGAAGAAGAATTAAACAATTTCTCTCCAATTGAAAACTTCTAATGAGAATTGCCAGGGTTCTCTTTCTATCCCTCTCTCTTTATTTCACAAGTGTCAAGCTTCCCAAAGAAATTCTCTATCCTACAAAAATCATGAACATTCGAGCCACCCACTTAAAATAAGAATCTCTATCATAAAAAAAAATTAGGTTAGATCATTCTGACCAAAATTTGGCTATAATAATTTTAAATTAACTAAATTTGTTTTGAGAAAAATACAATACAAACTATTCATATATTATGCCTTTCTCAAAGGAAATCAAATGGATTTGAAATTTTTTTGGTTTGCCATCAGAATTTGCAAAAAAAAAAAAAGAGTACACTTCGATATCTCTGTAGAGATGTAAGATGAAAATATATATTTTAAATACAATGCGGAAAAGTTTGATCTGCACCCATTTTATTTGAAATACAGTTCCATTTATATTAATTTTGTTTATGCAACTTTTGAACTTGCTCCACCCATTTTTTGCGTAATGTGTTGACAGAATTGTAATTCGTAATTTTCAGAGTATCCAAAAATTGAATCAGAAGCAAAACTCGTGGCTGAGGAGTTGGGCCTCGATCATCAGTATTTTTAATGACAATGACAATGCTATGTGATTTGGACTATTTTGTAATAATACACTGATTTTCTCAACGAGCATGTTAAAATGTTTATAAAATTGGAAATCATGTTTGTAAAAATATTCGTTAGTGCTACTGAAAAGATTACTATTGCTAATCGACCTTGCGCAAGAAGACGAAGAAAGGATGACTCTGTAATGAAGTATATTAAATCGCTGATGCAATATGAGTATAATATACAAGCAACAATTGGAAGAAGAACATGAAATTTAATTGTTAATGAGAAATATCGATAATAAGATATTACCATTCTTATACATGGCCTCCATCACTATATTCCTGAAGCTACTAGACAAAGTGACAATGTTTGAGAAGTTGAATTTATCTAAGTTTGAAAATCATCCAGACAAATTTAGAAGAAATAAGGCTCTAGACATCAATAGGGTGAAGTATATTCTGCATTATCTTTAAGAATTGACAAAGAAAAACAACTCATTTATAAGGAGTATAGAGGAAAGCAATTGGTCAATCCTAAACCTCAACCAAAATTTGTGTTGGGAGGAAACGACAAGTCTAAGATTTTTCATGATTGAGAACGTTTAAAGCTAGGAACTGATGATCGAAAATTATAGTGTTACATTTATTATTATAAACCTGCAGGTTGTGCTAAAAATTCCATCTATAGAATATAGAATAAAGCTATATTTCCTAAAAGAGGGGTACCTTCTAAAACCAATTAATATCTTTTACTAAATTATGTATATGTATCTAACGAGATTTGCAAAGAACGGTCAGCATGACATCTAAAATCTAATGTTGGAGATCCATAGGGTCTACTAATTTGCAATAAATATGATTTGTTATCGGGCGTATATCATATTTGTTGAGAGGCATTTATTGACCACTAACAACCTACCCATGTTTCTTATAACTCCCCAAATGATACAATTGAATTAGTGTCTCCTTTCATTTTCAAAAATCGCATGCAAGGAACCAAACTCGAGGATGCTCGACTCTCATTTTCCTTCAATCGCACATGGAATGCCCCAAGCTCCTCTTTCGTGTTTAGCCGACGCCGCATGCATGAAGCCCACTTGCTCCTTCTAGTCTCCCTCGACCGCACGCAAGAACAACCCAACCACAATAGTACCCCTGTGCGACCTTGCTAACCCCATCGTCCCGATCCCAACCTGACCTCCCTTTCTCGTTCGCTGTAGGACGCAAGCAGAAGCCCTTGATGTTGACCCTCTCTCCCTCTTTCTCTCTTGATCCCGCATGCAATACTCGAAGAAATTGATCCCCTCTCTCTCTCGTCTCTCTATTTTGCACGCCAAGGGTTAAAGCCCTCTCCACATCATACCCATCCTGCTTCACTAGACCTCCCCTCATCCTATTCTAATGTCGCCGACCTACTCGACCTCCTGCACCTGTCTGACCAAGCTAATTTCTTGCTTTTATTATTATTATTATTATTATTATTATTATTATTATTATTATTATTATTATTAAAAACTATTCTCATTGACACTACCATTGTCATCATCATCGCTCACCATACACAAAGGTATAAATTTCTTACTTGCTTAAAAAATAGGTTTTTAAAGCTCGCATCCATCGTATCTTTAATTTGGCTAAGAGAAAATAACAAAAACACATGAAGACATGTATTTGTTGTATCTTTGATTCGACCGAGAGACAAATTATGTGAAGACCTCACGCCATCGTATTTTTGATCTAGTTGGAAAAAACAAAAGGCAAGTACCTATCCGACCTCTCCAACACGGGGGGTGAGATATCGGGCGATTACCAAATTTTAAATGACAAAGGACCCCACAATAATTTTTTAAAAGAAAATAAGAATAAAAAATCATATACATCTAATTTAACATTATATTCAACTGAAAATATTTTCTTTCTAAATACAGATAGGTCCGAAGCTGAAACAGATATAGAGGAGCATGATGAACAAGAAATTTTAGGAAGAAGGAACTCCACAAATAACAATGCTGTGGTTATTTTAGGAAGAAGGAACTTTTGAAGCTGACACTGATTCAGAGGGCAAAAAACAAGCAAGTGTGCCTAGAAAGATTTTACCAAACAATAATGCTGTTGCTAGGAAGAAATCTGGCAAGAAGGGGAAAAGATTAAAGGATAGTTGCAACATGAAAGCTGCGCAAACAAGGTCAGGCAGCTCTGCAAAAACTGGATGTGCAGAGGATGATTTCTCGATGAAATGTGGTAGGTGTTTTAACTGTGTTAGTCCATCTATAAAAGGAACCAATCAAGATCAACGCAGTATGCAGCTCCGCAAGCGGCGGCTGAAATCTGGTGAGGCAAATGTTTTAGTAGCACCTGAGAAGCCTAACAATAGAAAGAAGATTAAGAAGGCCCTTGATTATGTTCCTGACAAAGAAAATTTCTCGTGTGATATTGAGGGCTGCTGCATGAATTTCAGTACAAAGCATGACCTTTGTTTGCACAAACGAGATGTCTGCCCAGAGAAAGGTTGTGGGAAAAAGTTCTTCTCACACAAGTACCTGTTGCAGCATCAGAAGGTGCATTGTGATGATCGGCCCCTCAAGTGCCCTTGGAAAGGCTACAAGATGAGGTTCAAATGGGCATGGGCTCGCACAGAGCACATAAGAGTGCACACTGGTGAACGGCCTTACTCATGCAGGGAACCTGGATGTGCCCTAACTTTTCACTCTTTCTCAGATTTTAGCCAGCATACAAGAATGACAGGTCATTAGTTGGCAATGAAGGATAGAGCATGAGAATTAATTATTTTTTTGAGTTCAGTTGTTGCTAAAAGGTGTGGTAGGCTCCTTCTAGTTAGGTCCCCTCTAATTGATATCCAGCATATCACACAACTCACCTTGGCTTGTTGGTTGAGAGCTTATACTTCCAACTAAGAGGTCTTGGGTTCGAGCCTATGTATGCGTTGTGTGTGTGAGTTTGCCTTAAATGGCCTAAATGTCCCAAAAAAAAAAAAATCCAGCATATCCATTGAAAATTGAGAAAAATAGTCACTATTGACCTAAGTCAACTATTTATTGTGATGGCTTGATCAAGAATTGATCTTAGTTAAAAGTCTAATCAATTAAATGAGGGTAATGGATTTCCCTAGGGTTTTTCCTAAGCTAATAAGTCCAAGGCTCGAGAGGTCAAGGTAGTCTTAAATAGAAGATTTGATAGGTGTGCTGACTTGGCCTATGATTTATGCCAAAGTTGACTAGTCTTTGAGTCATTCTATGCTAATGAACTTAGGTGGTTGGGTAAAGGATGTTGGATTAGACTAGCGAGGGCACTAGAATATGGTCATTAGATCACCTTGAGTAGGCAACATGGTGGGCTTGGATTGATGTTTCATTTCGCCAAGGTTTGGTTTAGGGTCTTGGGACAAGTTCATTGTCTATTCACTGAAAATCATTAGGTCTAGTTTAAGTCCATTTGGCCCCTTGACAATTTAGCATTTGAAGATCATGACTTGGGAACATATGGCTTAAGCCCAAGTCCATTGGCTAAGAGTGAAGGTTTTGTCGTCAAGTTTATTGATAGGTTTGGGATAAGTGTTTAAAGTCTTATGTTGTCTTCGACTATGCTGCCCTAATATTTAATGGCATAAAAAGGAGACCAAGAAATGGACTCTCACATTTGTGGTGTATTTTCAAAAGTTCAGTGCATGCTTTGTCATTAATCAAACTTTAATTTGATGTTAAAGATAGGTTTAAGTTTGAAGTTGAGAAAATTCATTTTGAATAACATACTATTCAAGAAAAAACTTTAAATATAAGGGAAAGAGAACCTTAGGAAATGTGAGGGTAATTAGAAATATTTTAAAATTATATATTGGAATTAACTTTAATGTACATAATGTTTTCTAAAAGAATTTTAAAAAGAATCTTAGGATGCACATGGTCTTTAAAAGGTTTTCTAAGGATGAGAATTTTTTAAAATATTTGGGGGATTTTGAAAGTCTCTAAAATAATTATATGACTTATGAGGTAAGTTTTTATAGTGAAATAAAATTTATGACTTATAAGACCTCTAAAATATTTTCAAAAGAAAATTCAAAAACAAATATGGTCTCTAAAAAGATAACTTAATGTGCCAAGAAACTCTAACATATTAGGCTCTCTAAAAATGCTTTTAAAATATCATAGGAGAAAAGGAATCTCTAATAAGGATTCTAATAGGAACCTTAATAAATGAAGTGTTTTAAATAATTTTATGTTGATTCTTGAAAAGGTTGTTAAACCTAAGCTATTGTCTCAAGGCTAACCAAGAGGGGGTGAATTGGTAATTTAAAAAATTACTCTTGGATTTAAAATTTGAAAAATGTTAAGTCTCGTAGCAAGTTTAATTAAAGTTTCAAAATAATTTTTCAACCACAAAAAATTACTTGCAATAAATAAATGCGGAAATTTAAAAAACACAAAGATTTATAGTGGTTCGATCAAACACAACATACATCCACTTCTTGAAGACTCCCTCTTCATGTATTGCACTATTACCAAAGTGTCTCTCATTTTTCTCCCACAGCAAGGAGGACAAGCCTTTACAAAACCTCTCTTCTACTAATCCCTGGTGCGGCAGAGAACTGTCATCATTTCACACTCTCCAAGTGTCCGCAGAGAATCGTCGTCTGTATACACCCTCCAAGTGTTGGCAGAGAATCGTCATCCTTTCACACTCTCCAAGTGTCAGCAGAGAACCGTCATCTGTTTACACCCATAAGTGTCGGTAGAGAACCGTCGTCCTTTCAAACTCTCCAAGTGTTAGTAGAGAACTGTCATCTTTTCACACTCTCCAAGTGTCGACAGAGAACCGGATCTTATTCAAATATTTTCTCACGAGCAATCTATAAAGACAAGAGGAAGAGTGATAACCAAAATTATAAAGAGATCTTTACATTTGAGTAACCTTGTGAATCCTTCATATTTCACTTGCAAGAAATCTCTCTCACACTCTCTCTTTCAAATGCCCTTGAAAAATAACTAAGACGGCACTTTTTCATGTCAGTTTTAGTAGACTTTTTATACTAAATACACGAAAAACTATCCAGAAAATTGAAATTTTTAATTTTGAGCGCACATGATCGTACAGTACGATCGGATGTCGTACGTATGAACAGTTCAAAAAATGTTGCATACGAATTTGTTATGAATCAGTACGAAACCATTTCTTACATGATAATCATCAAGTACAAACCAAGTTTGTCTAGTACGAACAGTTAAAAAATTTTTTATCTTCGTCAGGACAAATAGGGACCTGCAATTTTATACTCTAAATGACGTACATACGATGACGACATCATATGGTATGATCCGTTACAAAAAAATACAAATTTGTCTGGATGAAAAGGGACCCATCCATTTCATACTCTGAATGGCGTACGTACGATGATGGCATCATACAGTACAATAGTTTAGAAATTTTTCAAAATCATCTGGACGAAAGGTTGGGATAAAGAGGGACCTCATAATTTCTTACTCTAAAAGGCATGTATGAACTATGATCATACAGTACGATCCATACTTAGAAAAAATATTTTTGCGTGATCAGGAACCCGTCCATTTTGTACTCTGTAAGGCATGTATGAAATGTGATCATATAGTATGATTAATACTTAGAAAAATTTTCATTTCTTTTCTTTTGACTACTCATCAGGGTAAAATTTGAACAAATTGTCCCGTACGAAGTGCATTCGTACAGTACGATCAGTTTAAAATTTTTCAAATTTTAAACTCTCCTCTCGTGTGTGTGTGTGTGCATAGTTCTCAACTATAAACTCACTCTCTCAGACTCAATAAAATAAAAAATTATAAACTTCATTTACAATAAACCCTAAACTGATCTGATTTAAAGTCTTCAACAATCCAGAGTATGATTTCCCTCAAATATTAGTACACATGAACACCAAAAATATTGCATCCAAAATATGTTAGGAGAAATAATAATAAAAGTAATAATATTTAAAATGATAAAAAAAATGCATGTTGAAATAATATCAATAATCAAGAACTAAGTTGCAACTATCTCAACATTTTAAATATGAATACTTTTAAGAATTATGATCTTTAAATTTGCTCCTTAATTTTTTATAAGAAATCCTTTGGATTCTAAGTCTTGGTATGGATGGAAAGGTTAATCTAAGGATATGGGTCATTAAAAGGACATTAATTTTGGGCTTGGTGGTTCCCTGGTTTTTTATGTTCATGGTTTTTTTAGCTGGTCTGGTTTTGCTGATGCTGGTATTTCCTTGGCTCTTTGTTCTACTTTTACTTTTTCCAGATGGGTGTCCTGGTTGGTTGGGGGTATTCCACTTTGTTTGGTGGTGGCTTCTAGTCCTAGTTGCAATTTTGTTTTGGAGCAATACTTAGTCCAGTTTGGAGTTATGATTGATTTTATTTACTGTTATAACTGGTTTAGCTATTTTTTGCTTCAGTCCTTCTTATCTTTTTTACTATGGGTTCTGTTTCCTGGTTGGCCATACAACTAGGTATTTATTCCTAATTATTCTGTTGGTTGTTGTGGTGCTGTTGGATTTTTTGGCCTTCGGCTTTTGCCTGTTTCATTCGCTGTGCATTTTTATTAGGGAGTTGAGCAATTATTGGTATATTAAAGGACCTGAATTATAACCCCTTGGTTTCTCTTCTATTCCCATGTATATTTTCTTAGTTTTGTCTAAAGGTTTGTACCTGAGGTTGTGTCTTATTGTCTGGCCTAGCTGTTGTGCTATCCTGGAGCTGTCAGTTTTCTACTTTGGGTAGTTGTTGGTTGGGGAGTTCTAGAGTCATGTTTGTTGTTTTTGCTAGCCCATCTTCTTTATTTTCCTAGGGTTGTCAAGTCTCCTTAATGAGTGGTTTTTGGACAGTGTGTCCTTGATGATTATTGGTTGGGGGGCTTGTAGCTGGTTGGATCGGTTGCCTCTTCCTGATTATCTTTGCTTCCTGGGCATTTATGGATTTGGAATTGAGCAGCTTTGGGGTTTTAATTGTGAGGTTGGTGGCTATAATTTGAGCTTTGTTTCTCGGATCCCCTATTTGTTATTGATTGTTGGCAACTAGACTTTGTATACCATTCTCTTTTTTAAGGATGTTTGCTTAGATTTTTGTTTCATTTCTGGTTGGTCGGTTTCTTATTAGATTATTTGGAGTGACTCTATTGGCTCTTTTTTCATCATTGGGCAACATCATCATCTAGTTTATTTTATTAAAGGGAGTACTTCTCATTTTTGTTGGAATTATGAGTTGAATATTTCTTTGTTAGTATCAATTAGTTTTTTCTTTAGATTTGGCAGTTTTTTTTGTAGGTTCCTTTGTGTTCTTATTCAGGATTGCAGGTTCAAGGACTTTTTATGCTAGTGTAAGATTTGCTCTATTTTTTGGAGTAAGATTGTGCACATTATCCTTTTTGTTGTCTTCCTTTTTAAGGTGATGTCTTCTTGCAGCCCTAGAATGTCACTAGTTTTTTTGTAATTGTTAGCACAGGGGACTTTTGGCTCTCAGGATTTTTTTAGATTTCTTTTGTAGCTCTTCTGAGTAGTAGATGGCTGAAGGTCCCCTTTAAGGACTTTGTAATATTTTGCTTAATTAATGCATAGGCCCCTGGTGGGTTTTAACCTAAAAAGAAATTATAGTTTATTCAAGAATTATTACCTAATATAAGTCTATGGACCAATTACGATATTCTTTAGACGTAGGTCCCAATTCTCAAAAACATTAATGACAATGTTCTTTCCATTATTTCATA